CCCCTGGACAATCAAGCCGGGGGGCACCAACATACCTTACAAGCGTTGCATCTGCATCAGAATTCAAGCAGTGGCTGTCAGCGCAACCGGACGAGGCCAATGTTGCCCTTGCGTGCGTTTACAGTGTCGCTCGCCCACCCACCAGTGCCATGAGTGCAGCTGCGGCCAGGCATGTCGCTGCCACTGTGTTCTGTAGCAAGGAGTACATTGATGGCTGGACGCTGTGCCACACAGAATGACGGTATGAAGCGCGCAGGCGAGGGCAACCGGCCAACCAAGCGAGTTTACTTTCCAAGTTCGCCGTCTAGCAGGGCCTGTCAATGAAGTAACGATAAGTATTCAAGTTTATTAAATACGAATTTGATGGCTAAGTCGGGGCGAGCGTCCCGGAGGAGGCCTGACGAGGAGGAGTGCGAAGGGCGCAGGGATCCAAAAATGTCCGCGGAGCTTTGCAAGAGCAGGTGTATAATAATTGAATGACTGAAACGTCGCTGGGGCGGGCAAGTGGTTTGATCTGCCAAGCGCTGGGCGACAAGGTTGTGGCCTCTCGCCTCCGGAGCCTGGGCATGCGCCGTAATAAGTGTTAGCTTACCACAAGTTGCTAAGGCGTGGCGTAGCCCTCTACAAGAGCCTGGGCCTTATTGCGACGACGACTTCAACTCGTCAAAGCGACTCTCTTAGGGCTGCGCAGGTGCGTGTGTGAGTGCTCAAGATTGTGCGTAACCTGCGACAGCTTTTGTGTATAGTAGTGCCTTGCAACAGACAAAATCAACCTGCAGCTGTGCCTGACAAACGTGACTGACTCGGTCAACCTTTTGCCGGCCGACTCGAGCCGGGGTGACAGCTACTCGCAGCACAATGGTGTAATCTTGCTTGTCATTCTCAAAGTGGCAGATTCCATTGGTACAATGGTGCATCTAGCACAGGGGCCTTGGCTTCACTGTTATGAAGGACAGCTTGGTGGAGGGCACTGAAGAGAAGTCCAGCAGCCGGCAGAGCGCGGGCGTGCCAACGCACACCTGCCGCCACGTGCTGCCATCAACAGCCCTGTCCACACTGCAAGCCGTGAGCCGCCCGCCGAGGCGCCATGGGATAGCGGGGCGCCCTCCCGACCGCGTCACCGCCCTTCGACGCGCATCAGAACAGAGGGGTCTGCTAGGACCACATCCACCGCGTCCTCCCTGAAAGAACCGAATCCTGCTGCCAAGGCATCAAACCGCGCACGCACCTCCTCCTCGCCTGCGGCCAGCAGCCCAGGCTCCCGCACCGCGCACTCCGCCGCCAGCGCGGCGGGCACGCCCAGCAGGCGCCCCAGCGCCCCGAGCCGCGCCGCGAGCGCCGGCCGCGGCACGGCGAGCAGCGAGGGGCGCTCGGCGGCGAGCTGGCGCGCGCGCGGGGGCGGCAGCCGCAGCGCGGCGGCCAGCGCGGCGGCGCGGGCGGCGAGCTCGCCGGCATCAACGGAAAGCAGCGCCGGCTGCTTCGCCAGCAGCGCCTGCAGCCGCGCCGCGTCCTGCACGCCCAACGCGGCGCCGAGCCCCGCACGGCGCGCCTCGATCTCGTCCGGCGAAACCGCCAGCAGCGCGGGCGCGTCCCGCAGCACCGCCTCAAGCACCGCCGCGGTGCTCAGCTCGCCCTCGCCGAAGGCGGCGCCGCGCTCTTGCAGCTGCGCGGCAGCGCCAGCGGCGCCGGCGGACAAGACGCCGGCGGCGCCGCGCCGCTGCTCCTCCTGCTGCTGCTTCAGCAGGCGCTGCCGCTGCAGCTCGTCGGCCTCAGCCTGCCGCTGCCGCTGCTTCAGCACCCGCTGCTGCTGCCGCGTCAGCGCCGCGCCCGCGGGCGGCTCCGCCTTGCGGCTGCCGCGCCGCGCGGCGGCCGCGCCTCCGGGCGCCGCCTTTGCGTACGCGTCGCCGCCGGGCGCCCGCCTGCGGGACGCGGCGGCGATCGCCGCCGCCGCCGCTGCGTCGGCCTCGCCCTCCCCGTCGACGCTTGCGGTGCTGCTGGTGGCGCTGCCGCCCGAGCCGTCGTACGACCCCAGGCCGATCGCGCCCGCCACCGCCGACAGCCGGCGCCGCAGCTCGGACGCAGGCAGCCCAACCAGCCCGGGCTGCTGCTGCCACAGGCCCAGCACCTGCGCCGGCGGAAGCCCCGACTGGTCTGAAAACTGCAGCAGCGACCGCAGCACTGACTGCTGCTGCTGCCGCTGCTCCGGCCGCCGCTTTTCATGCTCGCGCGGCTGCTCCGCCTCAGCCACAGCCTGCCCCTCCTCGTCCGCCGCCAGGTCAGCAATGCTCGTCGCGTTGAGTGCGTCCGCCGATGGCTGGCGCTGCTGATCCTGCAGTCCCTCTAGCTCCTGCTCCTGCTGCTGCTGCTGCTGCTGCTGCTGTTGCTGCTGTGGCTGCCCTGGGTCCGCGGTGGCTTGGTCAAGCCCGCCCCACACCCGCGGGTCTTCCTCCTCGTCCCCCTCAATAAACAGCCGCCGCTGCCGCCCCGTGAACTTGGGCCTGAGCCGCTGCCGCTCCTCCTCCAGCGCAGCTGCCGCCGCCGCCTCCGCGCGCTGCTGCTGCCGCTGCTGCCGCCGCCGCGCCGCGGCGGCGGCCTGCTGGCTGCGCCGCTGCTGGCGCTCCTGGGGGCACAGGGGCGCCGCGTTGATGAGCATTTCCGGGTCCACCAGTAGCATGTCCACGATGTCAACAGAAAACGCGCCATACCTGCAGCAGAGGGGGGAAGGGCGGCACCTCAGTGCGAGGCTCGTCGGCGATCGCGGAGTTACTCTGTCCCAACCGGCTGCCGGAAACTGCACCCAGCGGATGCCGCCGCCAGCCCGCCCGCTCGCCAGCGGTGCGCGGAGCAGGCGGCGCGTACACTGCGGCCCACAAGCCGCTGCGCGGCCCCGAGCGCAGGCCGTTCTTTCCATCTAATGCGCGCGGCGCGGCGCACCTGTCCACTAGGGCGTCGAACTTTGCCCGCACTGTGGTGGCGGAGAGGCACAGGACACGGGGCTCCGCCATGATCAGCTCTGCCACGAAAGAGGGCGGGATGTTGAGCAGCGCCTGCAGCTGCTGGTGCCTGTTTGCGGC